CACAAGCACACTTAAACCTTACTCAAGATTAAAAAAAAGGTACATTTATAAGATAAAGATAGACGATTACACTCAAAGGAAAGAAACAGGGACTTCTTACCATGCACAAACACAAAGTGAAGATACAAATAGCAAGAAAAAAAATATCTGCTAGAATAGAAACTGACTTGCTAACACATAGTCAGAACATGAAGTTCACAGCAGCAGGAAGATAGCCTAGGCTGAATAGTGTTATGAACAATTATTATTTCATTTCTGTAGTTAGTAGATATACAGTTAACAAATTAAGATAGCCACTGAAGTGAACACTGCTGACATTTTTCCTCTTTGATCTGTAACACCCTCTGGACTAAATACATTAACATGCATTTATGCAGTCTCACAAAGATTACTATATGAAGATTTAGCAAAAAGTAGGGCTGCGCTACTAAGCATATGCTTCCTGTGTTCTACTAAACTGTCAGCATTAGTCAACACGGCTGTGGACCAGCAAACTAGACCTTACTCCATTGGTTTCAACAACAAAGCTGATAGAGTTTACAACTAGCAACAACGTAAGAGACAAAGCCATATTGACTTTCAGAGAACTGTCTGCCAGTCAAGAGTACGTTCTTTTCCGGGCATTTTATATACTACATAACAGAAAAACATGCAGGCAGGGGGTTAAAGCCACTGTCCTACTTACAATTCCACCCCAGAATCACAGTCACTAGTGAAGATTTCCTCCAGAATAAATTATCTCCCTCCTGAAGCTGTCATATTCCAAGCCAAGATCCACTAATTACTACTTTGCTTCCCTGAACTCAGAACTTCAGCCATCTTGTTGCTAACTGAACATCTACCTTTAATTTTCTCTTTATGACCTTTCTGTTCAGAGTTTACCTCTCTGATGGAGAGGTTTCATTGAATCTCACTCTTCTACAGCCTCTGTATTTTCTAGTCTTCTCAATCATTTTACCCTGCCTTCTGCTCTTCCTATGCACTCTCCTCCCTTTGATTTCTGTTTTCCTCCACTTCCTTACCATGACTCCTTTCTTTCCGCACAATCACTTTTTCATCTTTAAAAGTTCTTGTCAGCTCCACTTGTATGCTACACTTTCCCTTCTTTTCTAAGGCAATCACACATGAGGCATTTACTTACGCTCTACAGCTCTTCTGGTCAATTCAGATCATAGCAGTAACAGCACCCCATAGCCACTTACAATGTTGAGAGATCTTCCAAGTCATGTAGAACATGTTTTGAATCACTGCCCTATATCATAGAATCATAGAATGTTTGTGTTGGAAGGGATCATCTAGTTCAAACCCCCACTGCCATGGGCAGGGACACCTTCCACTAGACCAGGTTGCTCAAAGCCCCATCCAACCTGGCCTTGAACACTGTCAGGGAGGGGACAGCCACAACTTCTCTGAGAAACCTGTTCCAGTGTCTCACCATGCTCACAGCAAAGAATTTCTTTCTTGTATCTAATCTAAATCCACCCTCTTTCAGTCTAAAGCCCTTACCCCTTGTCCTATCACTACATGCCCTTGTAGAAAGTCCCTCTCCAGCTTTTTTGTAGGCCCCCTTCAGGTACTGGAAGGCTGCAATCAGGTCTCCCTGGAGCCTTCTCTTCTCCAGGCTGAACAGCCTTTTCTCTCAGCCTTTTGTCCTAGCAGAGGTGCTCCAGCTCTCTGATCACTTTTGTGGCCCTCCCTGGACCCATTCCAACAGGTCCATGTCTGTCCTGTGCCGAGGGCTCCAGAGCTGGACACAGGACTCCAGGTGGGGTCTCACAAGAGTGGAGGGGAAGAACCACCTCCCTCGACCTGCTGGCCACGCTTCTCTTGATGCAGCCTAGGACCATATCTCTTACCTTTAAACTGATGAGAGCAGTTTCAAGTCTCTGCAAATCCCCTCCTCATCTCAGGACAGATATTCCTTCCTAAGACACTTCCTGCCTTCAGTCTCTCGTCATGCTGTTTTTCTTGATGTAAGCCCTAGCTTACATCCTAGATTTTCTGTTGCCTTTACTTTTGGCAATTCATTTGCAGGATGATTCATCTTAATCATCCTGATGCAACCTTTCATGGGACTTGAGGAAACCTCTACTTTCAGCATCTCTTTCTCATGCTATTGAATAAACACTGGTCTAATGCTGATCTCTCAGATGTAGTGATCATCTACATGACTTCACACTACCTCATATGACCCTCACTGATCCTGTTGCTAAAGCACATGCTTATCATTCATCAGTTCAAGCTAAAGACAACTGAATTTAAGAGGTGCACACACTAATTCTCCCAAAGTAGATGTTTAAGTTAATAACACTGAATAAGCTTTCAGTATTTTCAAAAAAAAAAAAAAAAAAAAAAGGAAATAAAAAAGCCCCCCTACCTTTTTATTTTTG